GTCTACAATCACTCCTAGAAAAAGTTCCCTCTACTCACGAAACACCCAACTGGAAATAGTTTTATATAAATAGTTGTATGTACAGTGGCCAACAAAATTTATCATACCGATAGAAAATAATAAAATTCTTTCTTGTGGGTTGATGATTGACTGTCGTGAATAATGAAGATAAGAATGGTTGGGTTGATCAGTCAGAAATAAAAAGGCAAAAATAAATAATAATATGTATTTTAACATTTGCCGACGTTTCGACTTGAAGTTCAGGCCTTCATCAGGGCTGTTCTAAGAGATAGTTCTAATAGAGTGACTCTATCTCTTCGAACAGCCATGATGAAGGCCTGAACTTCAGGTCGAAACGTCGGCAAATGTTAAAAAAAATATTATTATATATTTTTGCCTTTTCATTTCTGACTGATCACCCCAACCATTCTTATCTTCATAAAATTCTTTCGTATATATTTTTAAATTTTAATTATATCCCCTTAATATAAATTATAGCCAAATTATAACTACAATTATACTCTTATGAATTGTCTCAAAAATATTTGTCTAACAATAAATACATATATATTTAATACAAATTTTTTAATGCAGCAACTTTTTTCATGAATAATTGTATTATACAGTGACTCATTCATTTGATATTATTATATAATTATTTATATTGTTAAATAATGTTTAAAATAATTGTTTAAAATAACGTTTTTAATGCATTCCTTCATTTTTTAGTACCATTTAAGCATTGATTGTACCAACTTTGAAGTCAATTGGTAGAATATCTTCCTCCATTCTTCAAACAATTTAGTTTTAAGATATTTTACTGAAATTATATTTTTAATCCAGTTGTGAATCGACATAAGCTCATAAATGTTTGATCGGATTCAAATCTGGACTCTGAAGATAATTTTCATGTTCATTTGAATAATTATATAACAGCCATTCCTATGTGTGAAGAATTTCGTGCTAACGGTTAATATACTGATAAAATTAAAATGTTTGTTTTACTCCCATTTTTGCCATTATCGCCCTTAAATTCTGTTCTTGTTAAGGAGTATATCTCCATGTAGAGTCAGGAATTAGGTTTTTATCGATGGAATAACCGAGAAGTATAAATTTAAAAGTTATGAAAAAGAAATTTGAGGGCTGGTAATGGCAAAGAGGGAACAGAACAAACATTTCAATTTTTACCAGGATATTAACCATTAATCCTACGTTCTCCTCACCCCGGAATGAGTGCTATATGATTGAGCATGAAAGCCCTCTACAGGATTCAGATTTAAATTCTAGAGAACTTTTATGGGTAAGTGTTGATTCACAGTTCATAAATGAAAATATAACATCAGAAAAATATCTCAGAACTAAAGTATTAGAAGAATAGAGGAAAAACTCACCCAATTCAATTTGAAGTTGACTCCAAAAGAACTTCATTCCAATTATCCAATTACTAGAAATTTTCAAATAACCTTAGAGATGTATTTTTCATGTCCATTTTCAGATGGATTAAAGAGTGGTAAAAACGGTACATAAGTCAATTTTTTTATTTCTTAAAGATGTCATTCCGTATCTTTTAGACATTTTAGCATATATCATGAAATCAACTATTCATCCGAAGATGATTATAACAAAATAATTGAAAATGTACTTAACTAGCTTCAATTTGAGTGCTAATAAACACCTGTATGCCTCCATAACCAAATAAAATGTACCTAAAAGATGGCTAACAGTTAAATTCGGTCCTTGATTTCAAGTATCATTTCAAGTCATTTGGGCAATGATTGGGTCCGATTGAGAAAGTATTTTCCAACATTTTATTTTTAAGATATCTTACTTATGTTATACTTTGATTCCTGAGCTGTACATCAACATAAGCCCAAAAATGTGAGATGGGATTTAATTATGGACTTTGAAGAAGAATTTCATGTTCGTTTCAATAATTATTGGAGACATGAGAAATGTGCATACAACATGTAATATTCAGGAACTAACATAAGTTTTCATACATGGACTGCTTGAGAGTAAAAAAAATCTATAAAAACTATTTTATCATTCATATTTTTTTAATCTAATAATCTAAGTAAATTTCTGTAATTCTCTACCTATCAAAATTCGTCATTCTCCCACCATATCCACATTCAAAACACTTTTATTCCAATTCCCATCCCAAAAACAACCAGATAATTGCTAAGCTTTTGGTATTATACATTTCTATTATATCATTCCTCATCAAATGATAGTACTATCCCATCCTGTAAACTTTAATAGGGATATTACAATATCTTCCTACTCTTAATGTCACTGAATGCATTGTTTGTTTTTACTATTATTTTTTTATTCTTATATAACTAAATCTGTACCTACAGTTACAAGATAATGATGTGTTTGCATATTATTCATTATTTAAATACTCTGACGTTTTATATTGTCAGATTCGACTTTCCTTTGTTAGCAGAAACACAGCTTATTTTAAAGAACTCAATGTATTTTTTTTTTTAATCTTAAAAATGAATAATTATAATTTTCTCTACTGTACATAATTTTAAGTCTTGTCATAGTTTTAAGTGTTTTGTATATAGGTTTATTAATTTATTTTTTTTGTATATAGCTTGTTTAACTAATATTTTCTTTTTTTGTTATTGTTTTAGTTAGGCCAGATATAGTCTTTTAATTTTGTACTATTTTGTGATTCTAAAGGGATTTTGTCCCAGAATAAAATTATTTTCTATTTCTATAAGTAAATGACGATTATGTCCTTATGAATTTTCTAAAAGAATAATATATTTTTATTAAATATAACAAATATTCACATAGTATGTTATAAAATATTCACTTTAATCTTAACCAGTCGAATCACGGAATACGCCGAGGAAATTATCGGAGACTACCAATGCGGATTTAGACGGAATCGTTCGACTATTGATCAAATATTTTCTTTACGGCAAATATTAGAGAAAAAATTGGAGTATAACGGTATTGTTCACCAGCTGTATATAGATTTTAAAAAGGCTTACGATTCTATTGACCGCCAGAAACTGTATAATATTCTAATCGAGCAGGGGATTCCAAAAAAACTAGTAAATCTAGTCAGGATGTGCTTGACGGAGACACTCAATAAAGTTAGAATCGGTAATAATTTGTCCGAAAAATTTGAGGTTCGTTCGGGCTTAAAACAGGGGGATTCTCTTTCGCCTGTCCTGTTCAATTTGGCATTAGAACATGCCATTAGGGAAGTAATGCGAACCGAGAAAGGGTTGGATCTGGGCGGGACAACATCCGTGCTGGGCTATGCTGATGATCTGGTACTGTTAAGCGAAGAAGTTGAAACTATAAAACTAAATACGACAACGTTAATGAAAGCCGGTAAAGAACTAGGACACGAAATAAACGTGGATAAAACAAAATATATGGTTAGCTGCAAAAATGGCGATACTACTGGTGATATCGATATAGATGGTAATATGTTTGAACAGGTAGATAAATTTAGGTATTTAGGTTCTACAATAACTAGAAAAAACGAAATTGAAGAAGAGATTAAGGTTAGACTGAAGGCGGGGAATGCTTGTTATTTTTCTGTGACAAAACTACTTAGTTCGCGCCTCTTGTCCCGAAACTTAAAAATTAGAATCTATAAAACAATTATCTTGCCTACAGTTCTTTATGGATGCGAAACTTGGCCGCTTACATTAAGGGATGGGCAGCGTCTTAAGGTTTTTGAAAATAAAGTATTGCGTAGAATATTCGGACCGAAGAAGGATGAGTTAACCGGAGAGTTCAGACGGTTACACAACGCCGAATTGCGTGAGATGTATCCGGGTAATATAATTGAGGTAATTTCATCGCGGCGAATCAAATGGGCTTGTAAAGTTGTTGGGCTTAGTAACGAGAGAATTCCTAAAAGGTTAATATTTGCTGTGCCGAATGGTAAGCGTCCGAGGGGAAGACCGAAGCGAAGGTGGGAAGATTGCATTAAAGCCGATCTGAAGGGACTGGGTTTGGACGGCGAACGGTGGAGGGAGGTGTGTAACAAGCGATTGGTGGTGTCGGCATCGAACCTTCGGGTTCGCTAAGCCTTATTATTATTATTATTATTATATTATTATTAAATATAACAAATCTAATGCAGTAAAAGTTTTCAAAACATATAAAATAATTTATTAAAATCTAAACCAAACGTTTTAATTAAAATTTTGAATGTAATCCCCTGTTTTAGTACCATTTTGAGTCCTTTTGGTGTTTATTGGGTCATCTTTAAAATCTACTAAGTCGATATTTTCCTCTATTCTTCCAACAATTCATTTTTACTAATTCTATATTTTGATTGCACTGTTCTGAATCAATTTAAGTTCACAAATAATCAGTTGTATTCAAAACTAAACTTTGGAGAGCATATTCAAGCACTTTTGAACAATTATATTGCAGCCATTTCCATATTAAGAGTTTTGTGGATGAGGTCTTTTATAAATAAAATGTTGATATTTATTAATAGTTTATTTTTTGTTTTTTAAACTTGTAATGTCTATTTATGTATTTATTGCATAATAAAGTGAAAGGCAGTGGATACAGTATACAATATATTGTTCCTGTAAGGAGGTATATTCCTCCATATGGGACTTTGGTTATAATCGATGGAGATATAGACAAGTTTCAATATATTAATACTCTAAGAGGAAATGTATGGGATAGATCGGCAAAAATGGGTATAGATCAAACAGTCAAATTTTACCAGGATAATTGAAGCATAAAAGTCTTCATACGGAAAAAGGTTACAATATAATTGTGCAAAAGTATTTGAAACTGCTTTTTAAAGCTCAGATTTAAATACCACCCAACATTCATGGTTTTATATTCATTCAAGGCTGTGGAATCAAAATATAAAATTAGTAAAAGATGTCAAAAATAAATTGTTGATAGAACAACAGAAATTAACTTCCAAAGTGATTTTGAAGTTGACCTAATAAATGCCAAAGCTATTTGAAAACATGGGATTACATTAAAAAATCACTAAAAGAAGATCTTTTAAGTTTGAAGGTTTTAAGCTTATATTAAAAGAATATTTGCATTATAAATATATTGTATTGTTTTCTTCTTTCTTAACTACCAAATTTAATTTCACTGGCGCATTGATAAAACGGTGTAATGTTTTATTCTAACTAATTAGAACTTTTATCAACTATTGTAATTAAATAAACTAAACATGACTCAAAGGTGAATTGGCAAAAAATAATCTATCTATATGATTGGCGCCTGACCTGTAATTGTTGAGAGACAGAATTGTTGAAGAAATATATTCTTTGAATAAGATGGGAATTGAGCAAGAAATATGTATATGACATTTAATTTTGAAGATGGCGGTTATCTAAATTTATCAAATTCAAGATCTCAAAGGACTGTAAATATTTTAATCCTATTTAATACTTACCAATACTTAATAATCCCTTTAGAGCATTCTCTAAGCTTGTTTAATCCAATTCGATTTCTTTAAAAAAAACTCAGTTAAGGTATTTGTTTCAAAGAAGAAACATGACAGTGTCCTACGAAATCCTCGTAATTTTAAGGCATTACTGGAAAAAAAATTTCACAGCCGCTGAAGCAACTCGTGAAATTATTAAATATGAAGGAGAAGGTGTTCTTGATCAGCGCACTGCGCGGCGTTGGTTTGAAAAATTTACCAGTGGAGATACGACGTTGGAAAGGAAGAAGGGCTCCGGACGACCACTAATGGATATTGATAAAGCTCTGCAGGAAGCTATTAAATCAAATCCGTCCACAACTACTCGTGAACTTGCCAGGGAGTGCGGTGTGTCGAAAGATACTGTTAATCGCCATTTACTCTCCATGGAGAAGGTGAAAAATATCAGTGGAATGGTTCCTCACGAACTCACTCCTCAGCAATCAACTAAGAGGTAAGAAATTTGAATTTTATATCAAAGAAATAATAATACAAATATTTGGTTCAAAAACCGTCATTTTTTTTTATAAACGCTATTAATAAACCTGTGTAGGTATCACCGTAAAATTTATCAGGAAATAAAAATGACTTAACTTCTATTTATTTTTACTTTCACTTACGTATATATATAAGTCTAGCTCATAAACGAAAAGTAGTACGAAACTGATATTAAGTATTTAAGGTTTGTATATGGGCCGGATGTGACAGCAACTTTTTCGTTAAAATCGGCTAACCGGAAGTGCCACTTTATATAAACGCTGAAACACATTTTTACAATTTTCTCAAAAACGGCTCTAACGATTTTGATTAAACTCGGTGTATCATTGTATAATTAAGTGGTCTTTAATATCATTTAGGTCTTATCCCCGTTGATGTCACTTTACAGAGCTTAAATGCCCAATGTTCATATATGTCTTCCTCTAAAGTACCTTTAATATGGTTTATTTTAAAAAGTTAATCATTTCGCATTATTCAGAGTTACGAAAAAATGCTACATATAACTTTTGAAAGAATTTGATAAGTTAATATAGGAGAAAAAAAATAAAAATGCAGAAAAACCTGCGTTGCTATAGACTGTAGCGCCTAAACGAATGTACCGATTTCAATGAAACCTCGCTAAAGTCATTTTCTCGACACCTTTTAAATTTATCTATATAACATACTTCACGAAAAGAAGCTGGCAAAAAAGTTACAAGGGATGGTAAAATTAAATTCCGAATAACTCAAAAAGTATACACTTTTTTGTAGATATTGTATAATGGTTTTTTTAAAAAAGTTTACGGAATTTCCTAAAAAACAAAACAAAATTGTTAAAATCTCATAATTAGGAGCAAATATATGGCCTCTAGTTTTTTTCCCTGAAGAGGCGAACATTTGGATAAATTTAAAATATACTTGAATTGTTGAGACTAAAAAAACGTTATTTCTACAGATATTTTATAAAGTATCTTTCCTAAGAATATCTTTCACAAAAAATAAGTACCTAAATTTATACCTTTATTCTCAGTTCTATATTTCAACACTGCAATCACAACCTTCGGAATCAACTTACTCACTGTCTGCATAGATAACTTTTTCAACTAACAATATCACTAAAATGACATTACTCAAAAATGTTGAAATTGGAGTTAGTCATTCTGTGGTTTATAAAAGCAAAGAAAGTTGTGTGGTTTATAAAAGCAGATAGAGTGACTAGATTTTTATTGCCTACCGTCGATATATTAAATAGACGTTTTGTAATTACAATGGTCTTAATGACTTATTATCTGTAAGCTTTAAGCTTTAGCTCTGTTTAAAATGTACTTCAAAAAATTTTATAATAGCCCAGCATTGCCAGAAAATAATTTTTATTCAAAGTAGAGCGGTAAGTGAAAGTTGTGTGTTGCGCGCTCCAGATTTTTTTTCATGAATTTAATAATACAAATATTTGTATTTAAAAAAAAAATCGAAATTATTTTGTCTGGAAGTAGATAAATACACTAACGATAGTCAGTACAATAATCGATAGCAATATCGACATCCAACAAACAATGTTGCCAAACAGGTTTTCTCTTAGTTTTAGGTCAAGATCCTTATCGGTATGTTCCAATTAGAGTTTTAAAACTGTCAGGCGCGTGCGTAGTATGGCTTTTCTCTATCAAAACCTGTACTCCGCATGCGCGCGACTGATAGTAATCGAAATGTGTTGAAACCTCCATATTGACAGATGCGCTCCTTCATAAATGCGGAGTGGGGGGAAAAGACCTTATCCATGACGTAGTTGTAGACCCATTAAATCGTGTTGTATGTCCAAGCCATCCACGCAAGGTTTGTGAGAATATTATACTAATTATTGTTTCTCTCACTTGTTCCATTCTTTGAACTAAATATTCATGTGTCTTGTGGAAATTGTATTGGAGAGAATTTCAAGTAAGTAAATGAATGAAATGTAACCTAACCTAAATGGAAGACTATTTATTGGATCAATATAATTGAAAGGACACTTCAGAGGTGTCAATATTATGGAAGTTACTTGCTTTCGCCGTTGTTATCTAGTTTCTATTGTAAGGTCTTCAAAGTTCATTTTCTTTTAATCAAGTTTTATTCTTTATCCTATTCCAGAAGTCTACAGACAAAAAGGAATAACTCTAAATAATTAAATTTGGCTTGAAATATACAAAGGTGCTACTTCACTATTGTTACTCCACTTAAATGCATATTACACGATCTCATGATAATACCAAAAATGGAGTAGTGAATGTGAAAGTAAATGGAGATGAAGTAATGTCTGCTAGGGATGGCTGTTTATTGGATAATACCATTGGTTACTCTGTCGGTTTTTTCACTTCCAGCTTAACCATACCATTATAACCGTTAAAATAACTAGTTATAAAAATATTGTAAATAAAAAACATGTTAATACTAAAGCATTTTTTTTTTCGGGGTAAAATTTTTCTTAACTGATAACATGAAATAACTGGCATACCAGTTTTTTTTTTTTTTATTGTTAACACATAACATTTTAAAGTAAATTTCATTGAAAACAAAAATACATAAAATTAAAGTTATGGATGAAAAATATTGTCAGGAGTTGCTGTCAAAATTTCTGTAAAGAGTTAGTCAACATTTTGACCCTAATTTGTGGTTCATCATTAGGGCTAAAAATTTAAAAAAAAACACTAGAAAAATGACAAATATAAAAGTGTAAGGAAGAGTGAGGAATAACAGTTACAAGAGAATACTAATGAGAATAAATAAATAAGATAATCGTAACAGAAGTAATTGATAAAAAATGATATATATATATATATATATATAAAAGTATAAGGGAAGAAAAAATAATGTTAATTTATATTGTTAATTTTTATTCCTGATGACCATCCACATATTTGGGTCAAAACGTCGGCTAACTTGTTAAAGAAATTTTGATTGCAAATCCTGAAATTTTTTTTAATCCTTATAATTTCAATAGTCAACTACTTACGTATCTGTAAAATACTAAACTTACATGCAATTATTATTCAATTTAAAAATGTTTCTACAACCTGCCATTCTTTTTTTTTTTAATTAAACGATAAAGAAATCATTATTTTGACTTACAAATGCTATAATTGTTTATTTCTAAAGAATCCCTTAATTAAGCTTGAACGAGGAGAGAATCCAGGATTTATTTATTTTTTTTAAGCTTTAATTGCTCTAGAAGAAAAAGTCAAAAGCACCGATGTAATCAAGGTTAATTAAGGACTTGTTTTTAACTGAAAATATCAAGTTATAAATCGAGAGCTAAATAAAAGGAAGTTAATCCGTTCCCAGAATTTCATTTATAGTGTGATCATAGAGATCTTGGCCCACCAATCAAAGTGGAGCAACATTTTTAAAGTAGTACCTAAAATAAACTGTTAATATTAAAGATTACATACAATATATAATATCAATTGTATATACAATTAATACAATAATGAAGAAAGTTAGTCAAATGTTCTATATATCATGGAAAACTGACTGCGTCCTGGCTATTTATCATCTATTTATATATAATATATGAAACATTTAATACTATACATACTAATTTGCTACTCAAATAAATAAAAACAAAAAAGAATTATAAAAATTGCTACTAAAATGATAAATTATAATTGATAGTTTTGAATGTAAAATTAATAATTTTAGCACCAATACAGATTTTATTAATCATATATTAAACATAAACCAAACAGTATTTAGCATAAGGAAACCAATTTACAAAATATGCTAAAAATGAGTTAGATATGGTTTTGAATGGGACAATTTTTTATAATTTTCAACAGAAATGAACAATCTCTTGGTTAAGATATTTTAATAGAATATCGAAGTCGAAAAAAAATATTGAAAATAGAATTTGTATTATTTATTAAAATAAAATATACAAAAAAAAAAAAAAAAAGAGCTGCTGGGAAGATAATTATTGATCAACATATTTTTATAAAAAGCAACGTTTTGGGTCGGATAAGTTTTGGTACAATTAGGTTAGTGACAAACAATAAAATACTGACGGTAAGCAATGAAAACATCATAACTCCATTTTGTTAATTTTTAGGAGGAAAAAAATAAGTGTTTAAAGTGATACAGATTTTACCACATAGTGCAATTCTTATTTATTTATATATATATATATATATATATATATATATATATATATATATATATATATATATATATATATATATATATATATATATATATATATATATATTAGAGATGTCTAAGTTGTTAATGTTAATATTTCTTACATTTTTCTTAATTTTATATTTATTAATGGAATATTACAGAATGCCAGGTACAAGATGCGCAGTTGCAACCTGCAATAACAATCTATTCGATGCAAAGAGAATTGGAAAAAAAATATCATTTCATTGTTTTCCTAAAGACGACCGTAGAAAAGATTGGGCAGTACAATGCAAACGTGCTGATAAGTATTTTAATCCAGCGACTTCTTGCATATGCTCTGAGCACTTCTCAGATAGTGATTTTGAAAGAGACTTCCAAGCAGAATTACTCGGCCTTCAGCGCAAAAGGAAACTTAAAAAAACAGGTTAAATTTAGATCTTTTTCTTTGTCCACACATATGTATATACATATATATTGAATGAGAAAATATCTTTTAAATACCTCTAACCAACACTGTGATGTTTTATTGTAATGATATTTGTACCCAGGGATGCCCATCCCTCCCAAGATCGATGGCATATGATCTGATCTCTTCTTTTCAATCCAAAAATTCATAACCTTGTCGAAATGTGCCCCCCTCAAAAATTTTGATGGCGCAACTTCAAACCCCCTTGTGGGCACCCCTGTCTGTACACCATAGGTAAAGAACACCAAGTCCATTTTTGTATTTATTTTCGGGTAGCCAATGTTCCATAACTTTGAACTATTAAAATTTGTTTTTTAGTTACCAAATTATTTTTTTTTTAAATGGACATGGTTTCCTTTTCCTCCAGAGCATAAATAAATTTGTTTTTATTTTATTTATTTGTTAATTTTGTTTCCTTACTAATATATTTTAATTACAGTTTTTGTTAAATTCCTTTAGATTTATTTCTATACAATAATTCCTACTACCAAAGTCAATATATTTTATATCAATTTGTTCACAAGTTTTTTTGGATTATCAATCTAATGAAAATAATATGTTTTTTAATGCTGTATACAAATTATCTGTATTATATGTCTTTTATGTTGGTTTACTACAAAGGAAAAAAACGCTGCAAATTATTTCACAAATTGTTTATTATTTCCAAACAATTATAAATCTAAAATAACATTATCTTCCTAGTGACAAAGAAAAAATAATAAAAGGTCATTGCAATTATTGGACTAAACTTTTTTTATCATTAGTAATTTGCTAAAAAAAAAAGATAGCATTACTTCAATAACACATTCAAACATCAAAATCCAAAACAAAGGATTTGTAGTAGAACATGAAAAACATCTAGAGACCATATCTTGGCTCCAAATTGTCCGATTTTAACTATTTTTTTTTTTTGGAAATTTCATAAACTTTTAAATAACCAACACAATATCAACAAAAAAGTGTATACTTTTTGATTTATAGTAACATGTATACTTTTTGAGTTATTTGGAATTTAACTATACCATCCCTCGTAACTTTTTTTTTCAAGCTTCTTTTCGTTGAAATATGTTATATAAATAAATTTTAAGGGCATTCAAGAAGAAGACTTTAGCCAAGTTTCATTGAAATCGGTACATTTGTTTATTACATCTTGAAAGGAAAAGGCAGATAGAAATGTCGATGAAGGAGGATCATCCTCGGGTGACCTCTAATTTTAAATCCAAATTTGAATAAAATCGGTCCAGTAGTTTTGGAGACGGCGTATGGCGTACAGACAAAAAAAAATTTATTCGTTTTTCGAATTATACATATCCTACAAAACCTTAAATTTTGAGAGGGAGTTAAGTTTTTGAATTTTTTGTTCTTTCACAATGGTTGATTATTGAAAATGATAAGCCAAAAATATAATAAAATACATATATCACTGGTCACATATCACAGGCTAACATCTTCCATAAAAATCAAAATTGAGACATGCTCTTTTAAATGATGAAATCATTTTCTGTTAAAAAATATATATGTGAAATTTACCTTTAAAATTAAAGGTTTTTTTCAAAAACTGAACCCTTTTTAATTTCACTTACCTATATATGTAATATATAGTAAGTATAAGTATAGTAATGTATAGTATAGTAAGTATTACAGTCGTGAAAATTTTTGAATCTGAGTTTTCAACGGAAAGAGACGTTTTGAGGTCCCCTGAGTCCAAATAACCAAGTCCCGAAAAATGGTCTGTGTATCTGTCTGTATGTGAACACTCTAGCTCAAAACCGAAAAGTCGTACAAAACTGATATTACATATTTAAGATAGGCATATGCCTTAGATGTGACAGCAACTTTTTCCTTAAAATCGGCTAACCGGAAGTGCCACTTTATATCACCGGTGAAACATTTTACTCTAACGATTTTGAATAAAATCGTTGTATCATTGTATAATTAAGTGGTCTTTAATATTATTTAGGTCTTATCCCCGTTGATGTCACTTTACAGGGCTTAAATGCCCAATGTTCATATGCGTCTTCCTCTAAAGTACCTTTAATATGGTTTATTTTAAATAATCAGCTATCTCTCATTATTAAAACTTACAAAAAAAATGCTAAATATAACTTTTGAAAGAATTTGATAATTGAATAAAGGAGAAAAAAATAAAAATGCCTATACAGGTGGAAAATGAATCTCCGGAAATACAAGTCAGAAGGTATACTTATAATATATCGATGGAAAGCAGAGAATTTTAGAAAAAACAATATCTAATATAGAAAGTTGAAGAAGGTAACGGAGAGCGGCAAAAAAATATAAATAATAATTTTTTAAAACTGATAATATTTAACGTAAATCACATGTTTTCAAGGAAATTAAATGAAATTTACTAACTAAATGTAAACTTTAAAAAATATTTTTACGTTTGTAGAAAGTATTTAAAATCCACCTAATCAAGGCAATGGCATTGTTAAAAAAACTATTTTATTGTACTTGTGTGAAAGAAGAAGTAAATTATAAAATTATTTCATGGATGTATAAAGTATATGTTTATAACCTAAAATACATTTACTGTAGTTTAGTGATTATAGATCTGATATTATATTTAAAAAATTTTGGTATCAACGTTTATTCCGAAAAATTGTCTTGTAACTTTTTAGAAAATTAAATTAGTGAATAATTTGATGAATCTTCCCTTTGTGATATTCCAACAGTGTCCACTACTATTTCATTGTACTTGTGTGAAAGAAGAAGTGAAATATAAAAATATTTCATAGATACGTTTATAACCTTAAATATATTTACTGTAGTTTAATAACTCTAGATTTGATATTATACTTAAATATTTAGGTATCTATTGTCCGCTTATTCTGAAAAATCATCGTGTAACCTTTAAGAAAATTAAATTAGTGAATAATTTGGTAAATTTTCCCTTTGCGATATTTCAACAGAATCCACTTACAATTAGTGTGACAACTTTTGACCTGTCTATGACAAACAATGAAAATCTCTTAATTTTGTTTTAATAAACTTTGCAATGGAAAATAACAGTTTAATAACTAACCATCGTACAATCCATAATCAACGGATCGAACAATCCATAATCAATGAATCGTACAATCCATAATCAACCGGTGATATAATAAATAGGACTTTTGTTATTTTAATAGTATTTATGATTTGTTAGCAATTCAAAAATTTTATAATAGCCCAACATGGCCAGAAAATAATTTCTATTCAAAGTTTTGTAAAGTTCAAAGAGTAAGTGAAAGTTGTGTGTTGCGTGCGTGCACCAGATTTTTTTGTTTCCTTTTATGATATTGGTCACATAACTCAATTTTTTGTAATGGTTGCTGTTTCTTTCCAAAAGAGGAGTGTAGAAAAAACAGATGTTTTAGGTTGAATGAGATGTAGGCCTACATTTTTTTTAAATGCAAGATTATTTTACTTATTAGCAAAAGGCTAAATTGTTTACAGAAAAAGTATATCTGTATATTTTATGTTCTATGTATGACAGAACTTTAAGGGAGCTTCAGAAATTTTATTAGTTATTTCCCAAATTTCTGAATATCAAGTTACTCATATATTTATAAATATATATATATATATAATAAACATACATACATACATAACAAAAATTTTTTTTTCAGCAATTCCAACTCTTAATTTGGACAATAAAAAAGAAAATCTCTTTCAAATTTCAAAATATGGACGCCAGAAAAAAAGAGAGCTGAAATTTATTGTCAAAAATGTATCAGTACAAACAGAATCGGTAAATTTGTTTTACTTAAAATTAGCTATTTCTCTTTATATATTTATTTTTCTCATTAAATTAATGAGGTACTAACTACATAAATATTACAAAAATATTGGGCCATGTCATATACCTAGTTCTGCCATAAATACTGTTCGAATAGTTGAACTTTGTTTACATCCTTGGGTATTATTTAGATAATCCTTACCTCTATCAGGTTATTTTCTTTAAATGCCAGGATTATGCTCTCAATTAGTTTGTATTTTTCTTTCACTCAGCTAACATAGAGTAACCGAACAGCTGTGATCGCCTTACACAAAGTTGGAAAATGTTCATGTACCGCTCTATAAATAGATATAATGAGACCTTATCTGTATGTGGCAGACCTCGACCGAGCCGTCTCCGCACTGCGAGAATGGCAAATGCAGTGATAGCAGTGGCTGCTTGAATCAGAAGAAATCCCATTCAAAAACAACAAATCATGTCTCCGAAAAGAGGAATCAATGTCTCGCATAATAAAAAGTGACCTTAGGATGGGTGCATTTCGAAGAATGACAGGAGAAAGGCTAACTATTTCCCTAAAAGAAATTAGAGTGGATAGATGCAGTGCTTCATGGCTGTTACACCAATGGTCTTCATCGAAAGATTTGGTTTAGCGATGTGAAAATTTTTACAATTGAAGAAAAATTTTATTTTCGAAATGATTGTGTGTATACGCACAGCTCTTAAGAAGTCCAGGAAGTCATTGGAAGAGATGAAAGAGGTCATCACCCTTCCTCAGTGATGGTTTTGGGGGAGTTTCCTTTGATGACTTCACAAAGCTCCAAGTGAAAAAGGAGTTAAACCAGCCGCTAAAAATTATCAAGATGATATTTTGGAACCTGTTGTCTCTAAATGATACTCTGTTTGCTGGAAGTCATCGGGTTTTCCAGCAGGATTCTGATTCAGCTCACAAGGTCAGGTCAACTCAGCAGTGGCTGCAAAAGAACATTCCGAGTTCATCTCTGCCTCTGATTGGTCCTCAGAAAGCCCTGATCTCAACCCACTAGATTATCGGCTTTGGTTCGAACTGGAGAGGATGGCATGCCACAGCGCACACCCTAACTTGGAAAGCCTCAAACAATTTCTGGTCCGAGCAGTTGAGCGCTTTCCTCAAGAAGTGCTGCGTGCTGCTATTGATGACTGGCTACGGATATTAAATACCTGTGTCAAGGTAAAAGGGAGACATTTTGAGTAATTTCTTTTTTGTTTTATTCTCCATAGATATACATTTTATTTTCGAATTGTTTTTGAAAAGAATTATTTTTCTGTTTTAATTTGTATATATTCCCTTGTAACAATATTTATGACAGGCCTAGGTATATAACCTCGTTATTTTGACATGTTTGAGGATAGAGATCATGCTAAAACGGCCCTATATTTTTGTTGTCAAATAAATACTAAATTTTTAAAAATAGTATTTTAATCATTACGCCCACGTTCCGACCCACTTTGTAGGTCTTCCTCAGGGCTACAAAAGATACAAAATATTAAAGTTACATGGTGAAAATAAAATGTATTTTCACTAATATATTTTAAATATATTATTCACCATGTACTTTTTATATTTTTTAGCCCTGATAAAGACCTACAAAGTGGGTTGAAACGTCGGTGTAATGATTAAAATACTATTTTTAAAAATTAGTATTTATTTGTCCGCACACCTCAACCAACTCCTCATAAAATAAAACACCTTCAATTTCAGAATAGGTTTTTCTTTAATTGTTTTATATATATTTTTTTTTGTGTTTATTTGAAAGTCTTTTTTTCAAGAAATTGATTATTTTATTTTGCATTTATTAAAAAAAAAAAAAAAAAATACATTAATCTGTCAAATTTTATGTCAATGCCAATTTGTAAATCTCACACTCTATTTGTCACAAATAAGTGTTCAGACCAATATTATGCTCAATTATCTGATTTCCCTCCTTATATAATTTAATTAATTAAAGGTAGACTCTAACTAAGATAAGTTTGAGAATGGGTAAAGGGAGAAAGAGATGCGCAGTGACAAAACATTTTCCCACCTATTCCCCACTCTTTTCCATATGTACTTCTAAATTTTTCTTTACCAGTAGAAATTTCTTTTATAATTTTTTTTTTTTTCATTTCTTTTCCTATTTCCTACATTGATTCACAGAAAGGCTGTTTACATACTGCGATTCATTTGATTCGAACTAATACAGTACAGTCTAAGATTATAAGTAATGTGGAAAATTCTCTTGTTTTACATTCAGAAGTAAATGAAAAAGGCTCTTCCCCACTATTAAATATCTATATTTTCCATCTATTTCTTGATTTTTTACGATATATTCCTTAGTAAATTTAGATCTACAGATCCTAGTAATAACATCAAGTTTTGTGAACAGACTTCGCAAATTCAAATATATTTTTTTCTCAATTTGATTATTTAACCATCTTTTTCATTGTTTTATTTTATTTGTTAATTAAAATCTCTACGTTTAATAAACATTTGTGCAAAATTTGAAGAAAATAGAATAACGCTTTCCTGGTATAAGGTGGTTGCTGTGGTGAAGAGATGAAGTGGAGCTGGAGAGAGGTCTTGGGGAGGTGGAACTTGAGGGAAAAAGCTGCGCGAACTACCTCAGCTTCCCCTACACTCAAACTTAACTTAGATACAATATACCGATTTTATAGAGACTGGGTTGCTCCTGGAGGGTCTTCCGATCCCATTGTTGATATAACAGAATAAATAATTATTTAACACAGTTGGACTCGAAACACAGAGCAAGTAGCATAGGAACACAGTACCTCACTCATGGAGCTCCCTGCTCCTTGTAGGTTCTAACACAACCCTTTCAAGGATAATAAATCCTGTCCAATTCAATTTATTATATTGGCAATTATGGATTCTATCTATATATTCTTAAGAAATGAAATTGGATTTGTCTCTGATAAGTTTTATCATTAATTAATTTTTTTTCCAGAATGTATCAAATGATCCTGATGATGCCACTTACTGTGATGAAGAAGAGAATTATGAATCTTCTTTAAGTACAGGCGTCTATATTAAGGTGCACATTTTTATTTACTTATGGGTTATATTTAATGAACCAATTAAACTTAATAACAAAATTTTGATTGAAGAACTTGCTTTAAAAAGCTGTGAAAGATCAAACGTCCAATCCATTATTAAAATGTTTTTAATGTAAAAATGTATACACTTTTAACATTTAAAACGTGAATAACTTGTATCTATTACTAAAAAATGGACTAATATATATTTAATAACTTTATTATTAGCAATTTAAGTAGGCTAGAGCCAGGATGTCACTGAAATTTTGATATTTTTATTGTGAACTCTTCTCCTTCATTACATTTTCCTTTAAATTTTTCTTTTAACTCATCTTTACAAGGGTGCCGGTCCCAAGGTAGATAGCGCATATCCCCTTCCAAGAGTTTGTATTGCTCTCTTCTTCTTCATTCGCGTCATGCCACTCACTCCCTTCAGGGCACCGTTGTATTCCTAGAATTATGAAAATCATACATAATAGAAATGGTGCAATGGTAGCAAAATAACTCGAATGAAGTGGAGTTAGCAATTTCATCTGAGTAAATAGCAACTTGAAACTAAAAAAATAGTGTTTAATTTTAAGTTTGTAATGAAGCTAGAGTCTGTATTTTGGAGGATTGTAAAAAATACATTTTATCAGATAATTTTATAATGTTTTATATGTTTTAATAGATCAGGATATTTGTTTACCAATGACAATCACTATTTTTATTTTTAAAATGAATTTTATCTATAGAGAAGCTTTCAGCGACCTGCACCATACTCATCTCTTATTTTTCTATTTAAAACCATAGTAGATTGGAACATTGTTTGTTCTTCGTCACATATTTAGTTTTTCAGAGAAGAGGGCTCCTCTTTGTCCGACATCACTTTACTGAATGCTAATCCGGATAAAGTAATTTTCTATAGATAAATATAGAGACTGTCATTGGTAAACAAATATACTGATCTACTAATACATTTTAATTGTACTAGCAATACTTTGATAGGATATTCAAAACTGATTTTTAAAAATTTAAAATTGTTTAGTAATTATCTAAAATAATACCAAAAATCATCAATTCTTATATTTTCAGAAACAAAAGTGGTCAATTCCATAAACAATATACATTAAAGTTAGGTTTTTCTTATGTACGAAATTGAATTTTTGGGATGTTCAATTGAATTTTTATCTGTTGTTCAATAAAGTATACCAACTATATTATTATATTGGAGTCATAGGCGCAGGCTTTCAACTTTGATTGGGGGGATGATGGACCAAAAAATAAAATAATATGGCAGGAGTTTTAATTATGTGTAAAAATTCAACATAATTATTGTGAAACAAATAAATACAATACAATTGAGGGCGGGGTGGCCGAATAGGCTAACGCGTGTGCACTGCACTGCCATTGCCCGGCAACCGGATATATGATTCTGTGATATGAAAATAGTCACGAGTTCGCGTCCTGGTCCCAGAGGGGATTTTAAATTTCCCGCCCTCACCCTCTGGTCCGGGAAAATCTCTTATAGCCTAAAAGGCGAGGTAGGGAAGAACAGGGAAAAAAAAAAAAAGTACAATACAATATTGCATATTTAAAATTAATTTTTTAAAATGTTTATACTATTGTAAGGATTATTTTTTTGATAACTTATTATAAATACTTAAAAATATCTATAAAAATACATAGTTGAATATATAATATATTTGTTTATATTAAACACAGGAGGGAAAGGAGACAGCCTTCATAACATTCGTACATCTCTAGAACTTTTTCAGCTAAAAATGAATAATGTAAAAGTGTCAAGTATCTTTGATTTCTTAGTGTGTACAACCTCAAATAAAAATACATTTTTCACTGTCCGACAAATTTGTCACTGAAAATTTGATAGGAATATCACACAAATATTGAGGGCTGATTGAAACATTAAATCCTAGGATAGATATATTGATATATATAATTATTTAAAATTATAAATGTAATTTAAATAAAAGTAATGTTTAGGTATCAACAAAAAATAGTTCCTACTACTCAGATACCTACTACTAGACTCCGGCTAGTCGACTTTTCTTAATCAATTTTAGTTTAGCTTATTTATTATTGACTTTAATATTTTTTTTACCTGAAATTATTGAGGGAGCCTAACGGTATTCTCGCTCCCCGAAGTCTGTGCCTATGATTGGAGTCCCATTCAAGCTCTTAATACATGTCATTTTACAGGTTGAACCAGGTTTAATTGACGATGTGTATCAAGATGATGTATCAAATTATGAGACAAAGGATTTCTTGGCTGGATGCATTAAAATAAAACAGGTTTAAAATAATTTCGATGATATTAAAACTATAGTCTGGTTTATGAAATAGATCATTACTTTGTTTTTTATTGTAGGAAGCAGACCCAGATTCTATGAACGAGGAAGAACATGTTAATTCCTTGATAGATATTGATAACACAACTTTCATCAAGAAAGAAAAAGATGAGAGTTATCTGGATTTTCCTCATGGAGGCGTAAAAATTAAGGTGGTCAATATTTTTTGATTTGTTTCTAATGCTTAGTAAGAATAAGATGATGATAGATAATAATTCATATGTTATCCATCATGTTTATGCCAGTACATAAATTAATTCGGGTACTAATTCCGAATCATTACTCCAAGACATATTAAAACAAGAATATCACAAATGGAAATTTCATCAAACTATTCACTAATCATTATATAAATAGGCAAACACAAAACGGTTCGACAGTCGAATTTCGACCACTGGGCGAACACTAGTTAATTTAATTTTGTAAAAGGTTACATGATGATTTTTCAGAATAAACGGACGATAGATACCTAAATATTTAAAATATAATATCAGATCTAGAGTTATTAAACTGCACTAAATATATTTAAGGTTATTAGCGTACCTATGAAATATTTTTATATTTCACTTCTTCTTTCACACAAGTAAAGTGAAATAGTAGTGGATACTGTTGAAATATCACAAACGGAAGATTCATCAAATTATTTACTAATTTAATTTTCTAAAATGATACATAATAATATTTCGGAATAAACGGACTTTGATACCTAATTATTTAAATGTAATATCAGATCTAGAATTATTAAACTACAGCAAATGTATTTAAGGTTATAAACATATGCTTTATACATCCATGAAATGATTTTATATTTCACTTCTTCTTTCAGACAAGTACAATGAAATAGTATTTTAAACAATGGCATTGGCTTGATTCGGTGGATTTTAAATACCTTTTTTTCAATCTTAAAAAAACATTTAAAAGTTTACATATAGCAAGAAAATTTCATTTAATTTCCTTGGAAACATGTGATTTACGTTGAATATTATTGGTTTTCAAAAATTATTATTTATAATTCTTTTGTCACTCTCTGTTACCTTCTACAACTTTCTATATTAGATATTGATGTAGAGATGGTTGACCATTGACATAATATGAGAAGGAGTTAATTGGGGGTGCGGTCAAATAAATACTAAATTAAATAATTACTATATTTTAATTTAGTGTTTATTTGATCACACTCCCCCAATTAACTCCTTCTTATATTAGATATTGTTTTTTTTTAATATTTAATAGTTGACCGTTGCATTATAAAGGAAGGAGATGGTCCGGGGTTGCGGTCATAAATTGTTTATTGAACCGGGGTTGCGATATCGTTTTTTTCTATAATTCTCTGCTTTCCAACGGTATATTACACGTATAACTTCTGACTAGTATTTCTAGAGATTCATTTTCGACCTAGATAACATTTTTATTTATTTTTTCTCCTTTATTAAATTATCAAATTCTTTCAAAAGTTATATTTAGCATTTTTTCGTAACTTTTAATAATGAGAGATAGTTAATTATTTAAAAGAAACCATACTAAAGGTACTGTACAGGAAGATGCATATGAACATTGGGCATTTAAGCCCTGTAAAGTGATATCAATTATTTAATGACATAATTATACTTTAATGTAGAATTATTTGTAATTATTATTATTATTATATTTATTTTGTTTTACAGATAGAACCAAATCTTGGTGAAGATGATGCATGATGACTTGACTTTATGACGTGATTGTTGTCTGAAGAAAACATATCCATTGGAAATGAAGTAAAATATAGACACTTAATTATTTTTATTTTATTTTAATATTTATTTATTTGTTTTCGGAGAAAGCTTCCGTACCTCATAAATAGAATTGACCTCATAAACTTAATAAATAATTACAAAACAATAGAATCAAAAGTCAAACAAATTAAATAAAGAATTATATATGCATATAAAAAATAACAAGGAATAGATATTCTATATAAAATATTTTTTTTAATATAATAAAAAAAATAGAAATGAACACTTATTAAAAAAAAGCTGGTGAGCGCAACACACTACTTTCACCTACCGGTCTACTTGGATTAGAAATTATTTTATGGCAATGCTGGGTTATTATAAAATGTTTGAAGTACATTTTAAATGGAGATATAGTTTAAAGCTTACAGATAAAAAAATCATTACGACCATTATAATTATAAAAAGTCTATTTATAATATCGATGTAAGGCAATAAAAATCTAGTTACTCCATCTACTTTTATAAACCACACAACTTCAGTCTCTGAGCCTTTCAGTTGATAGAATGACTACCTCCAATTTCAACATTTTTTTAGTAATGTCACTTTAGTGATATTTCTAGTTGAAAAAGTTATCTATACAGTCAGTGAGTAAGTTGATTCCGGAGTAGGTGATTGCAGTGTTGAAATATAGAACTGTGAATTAAGGTATAAATTTTGCCACTAGAAACATCAATGAAATTAAAATTAAAGAATGTTGAAATTGGAGTTATTCATTCTGTCAACCGAAAAGCTCATATATGCCTGCAGAGGTTTAAAGGTATATCTGAATATTTAACCTATAAATGATTATGGATCATAGAACTAGTTATTAATTATCATAGCATTAGTTATTAACCTGTTATTTTCCATTGTAAAGTTTACTAAAACAAAACTACGAGATTTTCATTGCCTTGCCATGGATAGGTCAAAAGTTGTCAAACTAATAACAGCCGATAGATACCTAATTATTTAAATATAATATCTTATCTTGATTTGATTAATACTCTATAGTAAATATATTTGAGGTTATGAACATATCCATGAAATATTTTTATATTTCACTTCTTCTTTCACACAAGTACAATGAAATAGTATTTTAAACAATGAATGGCATTGGCTTGATTCGGTGGATTTTAAATACTTTTTTTTCAATCATAGAAAAACATTTAAAAGTTGACATGTAGTAAGAAAATAATGTTAGTTTTATGACATTATTATTTAGAATGTTCTCGCCACTCTCCTTTACCTTCTATAACTTTCTATATTAGATATTATTTTTTCTAAAATTCTTCCCAACGGTATATTATACGTTTACCTTCTGACTGATATTTCCGGAGATTCATTTTCGACCTGGATAAGCATTTTTTTTTTTTTTCTCCTTTATTAAATTATCAAATTCTTTAAAAAGTTATATTTAGCATTTTTTTGTAACTCTGAATAACTTGAGATGATTATTTTTTTTAAATAAACCATATTAAAGGTACTTTAGAGGAAGATGTATATGAACATTGAGTATTAAAGCCCTGTAAAGTGACATCAATGGGGATAAGACCTGATTGATATTAAATACCACTTAATTATACAATGATAAAGTTAGTTTAATCAAACTTGTTAGCCATTTTTGAGAAAATTATAAAAATGTTTTTCAGCATTGATATAAAATGGCTCTTACAGTTAGCCAATTTTAAGGAAAACGTTGCTGTCACATCTAAGACATATACCTATCTTAAATACATAATATCAGTTTCATACAACTTTTCGTTTTTGAGCTAGACTGCTAACATACAAACACACAGATCATTTTTCGGGGTTTGGTTATTTGGACTCAGGGGACTTGAAAACGTGTATTTCCGTTGAAAACTCAAATTCAAAAATTTTCACAATCGCAATACTTGCACTTACTGTATAGTACTTATATAGGTAAGTGAAAGAAAAAAAAAGAATGATATATGACCAATCCCTCAATAATTTTTTTTTTCCTAATAAAACAAAAACACATACTTACAAAGATATTAATTTAAAAGCTATAAGTAATTACAAAACAATATAACGGAAAGACAACCTGATTATAACAAAAAAGAAATTGAGAATTATATAAGCACACAGGAAATAACAAAGAATGAATAGTCTACATAAATTAATTTTTAAAAATACACCACATAAGTGCAAATAAAAATAAACATATATTAGAAAAAAATTATACAGGGTGTTTCTTAGTTGCATGGCACTATTTTAGGTATGTGTTCACTAACACAAAGTAGTTCATATTAACATATATCTCAAATTCATTTATTAAACAGATATCAAAGATTAAAGATTTATTATTTATTATTATTACCACACTTAGAGTAACTGTTCAAAACACCTCCGATATGTTGAATGCAACATTCAGCATGACTAATCCATGCTTCTCTGGCTCTTCGTATAGCATTAGGATGGTGCTTGATAGTTACTGCGGCTTCCATGATCCGATTTCTTAGCTCTTCTTGCGGGCCAACTGCCGCAGAATAAACCATAGACTTCATCCAGCCCCACACAAAATAATCTAATGGCGTTAAATCCGGAGATCGTGGTGGCCATTTAACAGGTCTGTTTCGGTCTCCATAAGTTGCATTTAAATAATCAGTGACACTATTAGAAAAGTGAGCTGAAACACCGTCATGCATAAACCACAGTCTTTGCCTAATGCCTAGCGGAATATCTTCTAAGAGTTCAAGAAGATTATTTTGCAAAAAATGCATGTCAGGTATACCTGACAGCCTAGGTGGCAAAAAGAAGGGGCCGATGATATTGTCACTTAGAAGACCAAACCAGACATTTAAAGAAAAGGTATGTTGGTAATGCCAAACAGCAGTCATATGAGGGTTTTCTTCATCCCAAGTATGGGTATTTCGAAAATTAAGAATCCCGTTTCTTGTAAAGCAAGATTCATCAGTAACCAAAATGCTGTTCAGGAAGTTAGGATCCTGTGTGCATTGTCGAATTAAGCACTGGGAGAAATTTCTGTTCTCGTTATAATCTTGCGGTAACAAATCTTGCCTACTCGATACGTGAAATGGATACAATTGTTGTTAGCGTAAATTTCGTAATACGCTGGTAGAGGAAATATCGAAACGACTTG